ATGAGGCTGTCCATAGTTCCCACACTTCTACTTTCTCCTGAACACCTGATGGGTTGCAGCAGGTGCCGTCTGCTGGGCGCCCTAGTGGTGCAATGGTTAAAGCACTTGGCTGCTACCTGCAGAGTGGGCCATTAGAGCCCACCATCCTCTCTCTGTGGAATACGATGTGGCGGTCTGCCTTCAGTCCCTTCCAGGAGGGCACTTCTCCTCAGTCCTCCAAGGTCTCCCTCTGGGTCGGAACTGACCCCACACCACAGCTTGCTGGCCTTGCTGATTTTGGTGAATCCTTCAGAATTGTAGGACTTTCGCTAGTGCCCAGAGCAAAGCCCCCTGGGCCCCCTGTCACAGGCCTGGCAGGTGTGTCCACCCCTGAGTAGGTTACCAAGGCAGCTGGATGCCAGGTTCTGTTTGCTTCTTAGTAAAGAGACTAAGCACTTCAGACTCGTTAGCTCACCTGTTCTCACAAGATCTTTTGAGAATAAAGGCAGTCCCTCCAACCTTGATAGAGGAAAAGAAAACACTGAGCTTTCCTTTGGCATTCAGACTATGAAAAGTAAATACTGTGCCCTTCGTGCATGTATTCTGCTCCGGGCACGGCGTCATCGGTGTGACTGGGGAGGGTGGTCATTCACGAGGCTTGTCATCCCAAGATGATTGCGTGAGTGTCTCCCCTGTCTATTGGTCATCTCATTCTCAGAGGTTGAGCCCTGGAAGGGGGGTGCAAGGTGAATATCTCATCTTGCCGTTCAATTTGGGGCCATTTGTGCTAGAATTGGGATTGTATTACCCATCAGAGTCCCTCTTCACTTAGGTTTTTAACAGTTTAATTTCCCCTTTCCTTCAACCAAACAGTGTTAGGTATTCACATACCTCAGTTTTGTTGTTGTTATTGCCTGTGGCTATCTCTTATGAACATAACAGCTGTTGCAGAAGCAGTTATAAATGAAAATTTGATAAACGTTATTTTGAAAGGAGGTTGGATTTTTATCTTGCCTGTGAGGGAACTAGACTATATCTTGTACAAAGCTGTGATTTTTCTAGCTTTAACATGACTTTTTATAGCTACAGGAAAGAATCTTACCTAAAGAGCTAGGTTTAGCAGCTCACATAGGAAAAGCTCTTCCTTGCGTCCCATGAAAACGTTCACTTTGTAGAACGGAAGCTCCAGATGACCAGAGAACTGGACCATCAGGGAATGGCCTGGGGTCCTGGCTCGTCGGACAGTCCTGGTTGGGAGCCCCCTGCACTGCACTTGTCCACGTGGCAAATTCAAAGCAGTCTTCAGAAGCAGCAGCTGTGAGCTTGATTTGTGGGAAAGTTGACCGTTTCTTGTTCTGGGTCCCATCCACAGGAGTACCTTAGACACACTTATAGTATGACACTCTACAGATCACACTCTAGTGTAATTCTTGGGTTTCACCAGTATGACTGATTCAATGCTTGAAAAAGTCAGTAACCCAAGTATATAGATATGGGGACTTCATCAAGCTTGTGGCAAAGTGGAATGAAAAGGTAATGGAATTTTTTTCCATGAATTTTTTTTGAAGTCGTGTGTGTGTGTGTGTGTGTGTGTACCAAAAACCAAAACCACTGCTATTAAGTTGATTCTGACTCAGCAACCCTCTATAGGATTCCCGAGCCTGTAAATCTAGCTGGGAGCGGATAGCCTTCTCTTTCTCCCAAAGAACGGTGCCACCAAAGCTCCACATATATATGGAAAGAGAGGGAGACTGTGCAAGATATACTCAATAAATGCCTTTATTGTTGATAGTTGCACAACACTGTGAATGTAGTTTATGTGACCGAATTGTGCACAAAAATGGTTAAAATGGCAAATGCTTTGTTAATATATAACTCAACACAAAAGTTAAAACAAGGCAAAATACAGTAAATGGCTATATAAGAGGGCTTCAAAATGCTCATGGGAAAATTCCATTCCCTTCTAATTCCATTTTCCTCTGAACTTTTAAAGCCCCTTCATAGGAACGAATGCATTAGAATTCTGCAGTGAACAGGTGGCTTAAATCAGGAAACTTGCATTTTATAGATGCTTTCTGGGAATTCCTGTCATTACTAAATTTGAAGCATCACCCTGTCATGACACATTTCCTAAAATATTGTTTATGAATCAATGTTGATCGAGGCAATTCCAGTATCTGTGTCTCCCGGGATCCCTTGTGCCTCCCGAGTGCTCCCCAGCCAGGGACCCCTGAATTAAAGAAGGAGGTCTGAAATTCTGCAGAAGCCTGTTCAACATGAGCCCAAGATTATGTGTCATTAAGTTAATTCTAAGCCATAGTGACTCTACTGCTAAATTCCTTTCCTGATTCTTAAACTACACAGAAGCTTTAGAGAACACCGACATTTGAACTCTGTATGCACATGATAGGTATCAAATATTAAAACCTTCGTTTTTAACTATTTGAAAGGGACTTCTTGGTTTTACTGATGAGAACGCCAAGCCTCCTGAGATGGGTAATCTCCTTAGTGAAAGGAACACTAGAATTGAAGCCAAACAGACTGGGGGTGCAAGTCGCGATTCTGGGGCTCAGATCACAGCCTCTTGCTGGCTGTGTGTTCATCAGCAGTCAACTTACTGTTTTCTCTTTCTTTTTAAATCATTTTATTGGGGGCTCATACAACTCTTATCACAATCCATATATACATCAATTGTGTAAAGCACATTTGTACATTCGTTGCCCTCATTCTCAAAACAGCTCCTCATTTTCCCCCTCCCTTCTCCCTTCCCCCTCCCTCATGAACCCTTGATAATTTATAAATTACTATTATTTATATCTTACACTGTCCGACGGCTCCCTTCACCCACTTGTCTGTTGTCCATCCCCCAGGGAGGAGGTTATATGTAGATCCTGTAATCGTTTCCTCCTTTCCACCCCACCCTCCCTCCAGCAACTTACTGTTTTCAACTATCACATTTCTCATCTGTAAAACTGGTTTTCGTCGTTGGTATTTTTGGGTAATAACCTATCTTCGTGGGTCATGACAGGGGGTTACCTTGGATAACATGGACCAGAAAATCTTCCAGATCTTCTTCTCGGCTCTTTCCCTTGCCCAAACTCAACACCGACCGAGGCAGAGCGAGCACTTCAGAGCCCCCTGGACGTTAGTGAATTGGCTGCGGTTCTCGGCTGACTTGCCAGGATTCCCGGGGCATCACGATGAGGGCCCAGGCGCGGTCTCACGTCCATGGCGAGCTGGGCTGCACACTGTAAGGCCATCAGTTCGACCCCCCTGGAGAAACAGATGAGGCTTTACACCCCGTAAAGATAGGGAGCCTGGGAAACCCCCAGGGGCAGGTCTGCTCTGCCGTGCGGCCGCTGTGAGTCAGGAGCGACTCCGTGGCAGTGAGGTTTCCCGCCTGAGTTTATTGTTGTTGTTTGTTTGTGTTTTAGCTTTCTTGCACTTGCCAGTGAGGCACCCTCTCAGTCCATCTGCAGTCTCCGACCCTGAACTTCATGTCATTGTGAGAATTAGCTAGATCCTTTCGAGAAGGGCCTCAAATCTCACAGCCAAGCTTGTCAACAGTGGGAGGAAATAAGGTACATGCAGCCTTCATCGAAGCCTTCCATTTTAAATATGAACGTGAAAAATCCCGGGTGGAACATTGCGCTGCATCGGAAAGCTTCCTGCTGGCTTTCCACACTGTAAGCCCTGTGACCCCGACGTGCTGCTCCCGCAAACGTCGGCCCCCGTGAGACTGTCTTTTAGTCTCGATCTCCCAGGAGTTCCTTTGTCACTTTAAAAATTCACGTATCTTTCTGTCTCTCTCTTCCCCGTACAGGTAGAAACCTGTGGGTTCTTGTTGTGGGGCGGTCTCCAAAGGAACACAGAATCGGGACTCCGGAGTTCAAGTACGTGGCCAATATGCATGGAGATGAGGTATGTCTGTCACTTGACTTTCTGAAATGTCACCGGAGAAACTTTCCCTCGGGTCTCTTGAGCCCTGTGTCAATGCTACGGAGAAGGCTTCCAGCCTGAATTGTAGCCAAGAGGCCAGGCCCCGCAAGGTGTTGTGTGAGGCCTTCTGAGAGAATTTAAGGAACCCCGTTCAGGCACTACTACCGTCATCTGGTTGTTTGCTTGGTGCCCCGCGAGGGAAACTTGAGCTGTTTCTGTTTGGGGGCTGCAAGATTTCTGAGCTCCTGTCAGCCAAGCTCCTGAACTCCTTTCTTCGACTGTTGTTTGGGTTTTTTTCCCCCCCAGCGAAAGAGACATCGTATATTTAAACTCGAAGCAATCAGACGGTCCCAATGAGCTATCCAAATTCCTCTAATCCTTGCTTTTCAATGTTCAGTGTTGTCAGTGTTCAAATGTAGACATCAGAAACAGGGTTTTCTCGTGGTCACCGTTCAACCACAATGCCCTGCTTCTTTTCTAGCTCAGTAAGAATAAGCTCATTTTTTTGTGGTTTGCATTCCATATTTATTTCATGTTTTGAAAAATACCTTTTGACCCTGCTTACCTGGCCAGCATGCTCGTCCGGCCGTTGATGAAGTTCATGTCGACTGCTCCCCTCGCTTCCTCTGAGGACTTTAAGAGGGCGACAGCTGAAGCGGGTTCTGTTTACCAGTACAACTGGGCAGCAAGTGGGAGAGGAAATGGTCCCGAGTCATCTCAGCCAAGAGAATTTACGTAGGAGAACCGCGAACACCCTCTAACACACACACTTAGCTGTGAGGGCTGTCAGGGTGAATGTGTATTCCAATAGGTGCAACTTGCTGGATTTGCAATGCTGTGGGTGGCAGGCTCTCATCAAATGCTGAGCTTCCGGTCTGGGTCTCAGCCTCCTCCAAAGCCAGGTTCTACAGGATCAGGCTCCACCTTCATGCCATTCCCAGCCTGCCCTCTCTAGGCGTGCTACCCGACCTGTTCTGCTGAGAGCAGGTGCTGCTTGCAGCTGGAGCAAGGATGTAAATCCTTGCCTGTACGAAAGGAATGTCTTGAACTTGATTTGGAGGTGGATGGAAGTTCAATCCTTCTGCCTTTTTTTTTTTCTCAAGCATCATGGGATGTTTCTTTTAAAGACTTGACATTGCTAGGAGTCTAACCAAAATTGGTTTTTGTTAAAAATAACTTCATTACAGAACAGCAGCCAGCCATTCTTTCCCTTATGCTATCTGGTCTATCGATCAAGGCCCTGGGAGTCTATTTTTAATAGGAGGCATATGGCATTCATTGGCTTCCGTAGTTTACTCACTGAATTCCTGGCATTTCGGGGGTTGCAGCCTGCGACTCAGAAATTAATCCTCGGAACGAAAACTTCCCAAGATAAACAAGAGCCCGTCCCCTCACTCATCCACGAATTGGCCGACTCCTCCCGTGTGCTTCCCCACATTTCTCCCACCTTTATCTCCGGGTAGCTGGTGTAGCCCCTCAAGAGAGGGGAACTCCCCACAGAATGCTGAGGGCTGAGTTGGCAGGGAACACCACCCCATTGAGGTTGGACAAGGGGGGGATCTGAAGCATTGTTAGCCATGTGTGGGTCTGAGCTGGTGATAGTGGGTGGGGCTATCAGGGCCCCTGAGAAATGGACGATTGTGAGCTTCCGAGCCTGTATGGTCTGCCCTCCTCACACCCCTCAGAGCAAAGGCACCACTCTTGAGTACAGGGCTAACCGCTTGACTCACCCGTTTCTCCCGCACATGGCTTAGGATCGCTAGAGCATTTTCCAGGACTCCCTGTTAAATGCAGGTCACTAACATTGTAGGGTAAATGATTCTTTCCTTTCCTTTGGGTTCATTCCTTGCTGCTATTCTGATGGAAGCATTGAACCCTGGCCTCGGGGCTTGTGGGTGTTCTAGGAGTTTATGGCCCTTCTATGAAGAGTTGCTTAGGGCAGCAGGGGAGATAGAGTCTCTTCTTGGTCTCAATGTTGGTGAACTCAGAAATTTGAAAACTGAAAGAGCCCCTGAGGCGCCCCCCTCCCCCAATTTTGCAAATAAAGATACTGAGGCAGAGTTGCACCTTTTCTGTCGTCACAGGGCAACGTCGGGGTTTAGACGGAGGTAGATGTGCACCTGGGATTTGCACAGGATTCGATTCCCCAGAAGAACAGTCAGCCAGGGATCCTGGGGGTGCTCAACTTCTTTCTGCACCGTATTCAGACGTGCAGCGATGACCTTCTTTTAGGAAAAGCCCAGATCAGCTGGGTGACCCTTCAAATCCAGAACCGATCACGGTTTCTTTTAGCTAAACAGCAGATAAAGAGGTTTAGGATCAGGAGACCGACCACCCAGGAAAAACAAAACACAAGCCTTTTCATTAGACACTCAGGAAGGTGAGGTGCACACGCAAGAGAGACCCTGAAAATCGAGACGACAAGGGGCATGTACACGGCGAGGAGCATGGTGAACAGAATTGACCTTGCTGTTGGAAGAATGCTCCCTGTTTCCTGGACCCCACCCGTGTGGAAGTCCCATGTCACAGAGAAGGGGTCTGGGTTTAGTCATGAGCTCTCTAAATCCAGAGCCTGCGCGCCCAGCCTCAATCAGTGATCATCCTTTGCTCTCATCGCTCCCTTCGAATGGTGCTGTTTGTTTTCATCTCTGTGTACCTCGGTGATATCACAGAATAATTTCTAAATGACAGTATACTGACAATCAAAAAACGTAAGGCAAGATGATATCACAAAGTAGATGACTTAACACAATGGAAATTTATTTTCCCGCAGTTCTCGAAGCGAGAAATCCAAAATCAAAGTGTCGGCACCGCCCTGCTTCCCTCTAGCAGGACCAGCTTCTCCAGTCCCGCCCACTTTCTGGCGGCCCAGGCGTGCTGTGCCTTGTGGCAGCACAACTCCAATCCCTGCCTCCATCATCACGTGGCCACCTTCCCCGTGTGCCTCTTCTCCTCTTTAATGACAGAGTGCTGCCTTGGGGCCCACCCCACTCCAAGACGACCTCATGTTCATTTTATCTGCAAAACCCCTCTTTCCAAATAAGGTCACATTCACAGGTCCTGGGGTGGGGATTTCAGCTTATCTTCTTGGAGGACATAGTTCCACCCCTAACCGAAGGCTACCCCGTTGTCCCGGCACATTGGATAAAAAGACTTGGACGCCATCATGGAGAAGAGAAACAAGCTCTTGCACAAAGTGACACTGGGATGATAAGCTGCCCCACATCCCTTGCTTCTGATCCTTGCTTCCCCCTCGCCCTACTTCCCAGTCCTTCTTTGTGAGGAATCACGGACAGACAGAGCCATGGTGAGCCTTCCTCACCAGATGCCCAGGTGTTCAGGAAGTTGAGAAAATGTATCTGAAGGTTTTAGCTTCCTCGTATTAATAAGGCATTTTCTGATTCTGCAGGTCCTGGTTTTAACATAAATAAGCATGTCGAATTGTAGACCCAGTGCTGAGAGTCAGTGCTGACACATAGTGACCCTAGAAGGCAGGGTAGAACTGCCCTTTGAGTTTCTGAGACGAACTGTTTGTGGGAGTAGAAAGCCTGTCTCTCTCCCCAGGAGAGGCTGGTTATTTCGAACTACTGGCCTTGCGGATCACAGCCCAACATGTAACCGCTAGGCCACCCTTTCTTGATGAAGTAACTTGAGCATTTGTACATCTCCCCTCACTACGCAGTGGTGTGTTCAATAATAGAAACTGCTCTTTTGAATACATGAGATTTTCTTTTTTCTTTTAAACATTTTATTAGGGGCTCATACAACTGTTATCGCAATCCATACACACATCAATTGTGTAAAGCACATTTGTACATCATTCTCAAAACATTTTCTCTCCACTTAAACCCCCGACATTAGGTCCTCATTATTCCCCTCCCTCCCCTCTCCCCGCTCCCTCATGAGATTTTCTATAGAGTACTTGATGTGCCAAGAGCTGGCTGAGACATCAGAGATGTAGGTAGGTAGGGTCCCTGCCCTCCAGACTTGGATGGTTATGGGAGGCTGGGGCCGTCGATGTCAGACAGGCTATTATAGTGCGATGTGATCAGTATTTGGAAGAGCACAGGTTTGAGGTGTTATGATGGCATACAGGGAGGTCATCAAACCCGGACTTGGGAGACCAGGGTGAGAGATATTAACCATCCACGCTGACACGGCAAAGCCCGTGAAAGCCAGACCTGTGTGAGACGAAAACCTGTCGGAGGAAGAAAACGCAAGTGCTTTCCACTGAGATAATCAATAGTGAAGTGGTGAGACTGCTCCCTTTTAAAGGTGAGAAAGGGGGAGACCCAGAAAGACAAGCGGTGCGCTCTGGGAAGGACTTAACTAAGAAATCAGACAAGTCCATTTCAGCGATCACACCACTTGGGAAGCCCTGCAACTGAGCTGGCGGATTCATTTTTCTCCGGAGGCTGCATCGCAGGGTAGCATTTCAGAAGCAAACTCCATAACCGTCGGCCAGGTGGAGTGCGTGTGTTTCTCTCGCAATCTCTCCGTGTCTCTCAGTCTCTCTCTCAAATCTACCTGTTATAGATTTCTTTTTTAAAATTTTCACTGTTTCTTAACATTCTTTGAAAGTCTACAAAATTTGTTTTTCTCTATCTGGCAAATTCCACCTGGATTGAATTGCATTAAAACCTAGAGGAGACTTTATTTCCTGCTTCCTGGGATCCCGGCGCTCTAAGTCCCAGGTGACCTTGCCGTGAAAGGCTCCAGAAGCCGGTAAAGTTCAAGCCTCTCGGTCTCTCCACCAGGAACTACTTCCATGAGTCCTCGCTCTCACCATCATTTTTATAGAGAGGAAGTGAGCTAGAAGCAGCTAAATAAAAGGTGGGGTAAGCGAGTGATGGTTTTGACGCCGTTCTTTTTTAAATTTTGGATTCTCCAAGGTTTCATATTCAAAGGCTTAATCTTAAATAAGGGAAATTTATACATAAAACATGAGTGCTTGAGATATTTATATTAAGGCTGGGAAGAATTAATTTGAATAGCATTTGGCATAAATACGCTATTACAGAGGCAGCGAAATACAACCCAACAAAAAAGAGGATTGTTTAACTTCTTTTGAAATTGTGGTCTCTTTATCTCAGCAGTTTTTAAATAATCTGATTCTTAGTTGGTTCCTTATCCTATTTCCAAGATTTTTACTTATCCTCAGCAGTTAAGAACTTGGGATTTCTTATGGAAGTTTGATTCAAATAGAGACTGCCATGGTTACAGGCCTGTTTACTTGAGAGAAACCATGGTTTTATTGTCCATAACTTGAAAAGTTTAAATTGAAAATTTTGTCTTTAATTTTAAAAGTGGTACTAGAAAAATAGAATAACTAGAATTATTCTGGACATCATTACCCAGAAATAATCATCGTTAATATTTACCAGAGATCACTTAGGTCTTTTTTAAAGACCAAGAGGATTTAAAATAATATGAAATACAGTGTGTGTTATATTATATATTTTATCTTTAAATAAGAAGTATGAAACTTGAACTTACTTCAACAAAAGAACAAAGCTGCAGCCAAACCAAAGAATTGGTGAACTTGGCGCTTTTCAAAATTCAGAAATTATCCGATCGTTCTGAAGAAAATATTTTATGAAAGCTTGGATAGTGTAGTCATTAAAAAGTATTTTAAGTTTTGAGATTGCCTGATGACTTTTTGCTACGAAAAGAGAAGAAATGGACACTATGAAGTCTTTTTATCTCCCGCCTCCTGTTCTGTTCGTTATAAATGTTAGCACCTATCTTCCGGTCCGGATTAGCGAGTCCCACCA